GGTCATGAAACGTAGGTACATTGACGGGTAAGTCTATAGAGTTGGCGAAGATCCTCCAGAAGAGGAGGGTCAATATAGCGTGTGTCCAAGAGACTAGGTGGGTAGGGTCGAGGGCGAAGGACGCGGACGGGTATAAACTTTGATACTCAGGAGTCCATAAAGGTAAGAACGGAGTGGGCATCTTGGTGGATAGGGAACTCAGAGAGTCTGTGGTCGAGGTTAGACGAGTGAATGATAGATTGATGATTATTAAGTTGGTGGTTGGAGAGTGCACCCTAAATGTCGTTAGCGCCTATGCGCCGCATGTGGGCCTAGATGAGGAGGTTAAACGACGCTTCTGGGAGGGGTTAGATGAGATTGTGCATCAGGTTCCGCCTACTGAGAAGCTATTCATAAGAGGGGATTTCAATGGGCATATTGGGTCTACTGCAGGTGGTTATGGCGAGGTACATGGAGGCTTCGGTTTTGGGGAGAGGAACGGAGGAGGTACATCATTGTTGGACTTCACTAAGGCTTTTGGGTTGGCGATTGTGAACTCTAGCTTTCCAAAGAGGGAGAGGCATTTGGTTACTTTTCAAAATGCGGTGGCGAAGACTCAGATTGACTATCTTCTCCTCAGGAGAGGTGACAGAGGAATGTGCAAGGATTGCAAGGTGATTCCGGGTGAGATACTCGCGACGCAACATAGGCTCTTGGTGATGGACGTTGGTATTATGTTAAAGAGGAGGAAAAGGTCTACTCGAGGAAGTCCGAGAATCAGGTGGGGAGCCTTAACAAAAGATAAAGCCCAAGAGTTGGAAGGGCGGTTATCGGCTATAGGAGCTTGGAGGAGCAGCGGTGACGCGAGCATTATGTGGTCAGCGACAACAGGCTGTATTAGGGAGGTTGCGAGAGAGGTGTTAGGAGTCTCGATGGGCATCTCTGATGGGCACAAAGGAGACTGGTGGTGGAATGAAGCGGTACAAGGTAAAGTGGAAGCTAAGAAGGTGGCATACCTGAAGTTAGTGGGGAGCATAGATGGGGAGGAGAGGCGAGCATGCATGGAGAGGTATAAGACAGCTAGGAAGGAGGCTAAGCTGGCGGTCACAGAAGCTAAGACTGCTGCATATGGTCGTATGTACGAGGAACTGGGGGAAAAGGCGGGGAGAAGAAGTTATTCCGGCTGGCCAAGTTGAGAGAGAGGAAGGCTCGGGATTTGGACCAAGTGAGATGCATCAAGGATGAAGATGGTAGAGTATTAATGGAAGATGCCCAGATTAAGAGGAGATGGCAGACTTACTTTTATAAACTTCTGAATGAAGAAGGGGATCAGGATATTGTGCTAGGCGAATTGGAGCATTCCGAGAGTCACCGTGACTTTGGGTACTGTAGGCGTATCGAGGTTGATGAGGTCATGGGAGCTATGCGTAAGATGAGAAGGGGTAGAGCGACCGGGTCNTCGTTGTGACTTCAGGTTCTATTGTTCTTGCTTAAAATTTACTATTTGTTAATATTGGACTCGTATGAGTTGGTACCTCCCTTTTTCAATTTTCCTTTGTTGTGTTAGTTAAATTGTTGTTAACTTAGTTCGTATTAGTTTATTCACCGTATTAGTATGCATGTAGTTGCAACTTATCTTCTTCTGGTTTGGTCTGTTATATTGTGCATGTNTCCGGTGGAATTTTGGAAGTGTGTGGGGAGAGCAGGTTTGGAGTGGTTGACTGGGTTGTTTAATATTATTTTTAAGGCGAAGATGATACCGGATGAGTCGAGGTGGAGTACGGTGGTCCCATTATATAAGAACAAAGGTGATATCCAGAGTTGTAACAATTATAGGGGTATCAAATTACTGAGTCATACCGTGAAAGTGTGGGAGAGGGTGGTTGAAGTGAGGGTAAGGATGACAATGTCTGTATCCGACAACCAGTTCGGGTTCATGCCGGGTTGTTCGACTACAGAAGCTATACACCTTGTTAGGAGGTTGGTGGAACTGTACAGAGAGAGGAAGAAGGATCTGCACATGGTCTTTATTGACCTAGAGAAAGCGTATGACAAGATTCCTAGAAAAGTTCTCTGGAGATGCTTGGAGGCAAAAGGTGTATCGGTTCCCTACATTATGGCGATTAAGGACATGTATGATGGGGCTAAGACTCGGGTTAGGACAGTAGGAGGCGACTCTGAGAAGTTTCCGGTTGTAATGGGGTTACACCAAGGTTCTGCGCTCAGTCCGTTCTTATTCACCCTCGTGATCGACGCGTTAACACACCATATTCAAGGGGAGGTGCCATAGTGCATGCTATTTGCCGATGAGGCTAGAGATTTGGAGACAGGCTCTTGAGTCTAAGGGTTTCAAGTTGAGCAGGACGAAGACGGAATTCCTGGAGTGTAAATTCAGCATTGAGCCAGGGGAAGTGGGCATGGATGTGAGGCTTGAATCACAGGTCATCCCGAGTAGAAGCAGCTTCAAGTACCTTGGTTCAGTTATCCAGGGGGGAGGGGAGATCGATGAGGATGTCACACACCGTATTGGGGTAGGATGGATGAAGTGGAGGTTAGCATCTAGAGTCCTGTGTGACAAGAGAGTGCCACCAATACTCAAAGGTAAGTTCTATAAAGCGGTGGTTAGACCAGTCATGTTGTATGGGGCTGAGTGTTGGCCCGTTAAGAACTCACATATCCAGAAGATGAAAGTAGCAGAAATGAGGATGTTGAGGTAGATGTGCGGGCACACTAGGATAGATAAGATTAGGAATGATGTCATTCGGGAGAAGGTGCACGTGGCTCCCATTGATGACAAGATGCGGGAAGCGAGGCTTAGATGGTTCAGACATGTTCAAAGGAGAAGCCTAGATGCTCCGGTACGGAGGTATGAGCGGCTGGTTATGGAGGGCACGAGAAGAGGTAGAGGGCGGCCTAAGAAGTATTGGGGAGAGGTGATCACACAGGATATGGCGAGGCTTCAGATTTCCGATGACATGACACTTGATAGGAAGATGTGGAGGTCGAGTATTAGAGTTGTAGGTTAGGATGTAGTTGAGTCTTGACTTACTTCGTACCATTGTGGGACTGGCCACGTAGGGTTTTTGTCTAGGGTAGCTAGTGACAATGTTATGTTTTACTACTTTGCTTTTCAGTGCATGTCCTATTTACTAACTATCGTTTTTGCTTTGCATCTTTCTTCTGCATTTCATGGTGTTCCTATTTTTTCTATGATTGTTGTGGTGATACTAATGTTGTCTCCTCTTGTCGTTTTGTCTTTTTGTTTTCTTGAGCCGAGGGTCTTTCGGAAAATAGCCTCTCTACTTCTTTGGGGTAAGGGTAAGGTCTGCGTATACACTACCCTCCTCAGACCCCATTAGTGAAATTTTACTGGGTTGTTATTATTGTTGTTGCTACAATAGTAATCACTATTGATACTTTATTCTAATGCAATCCTTTGATCAAATATCAACAAAAACAACAACCCAGTAAAATTGTTAATAATTTCCTGAACCGTGGAATAAAATTGTATCTCCTGAAGTGTTTGATTAGAAGTTTTTGGATATTATGAAACAATACAATAATGATGTTAATGCTGGGCCTTTTTGTTGGTGTGGAAGTGGATAAGAATTACAAATCTGTATGATTCTATATAGTATATTAGTATTATGAGTTTTATTTTGCTGATTTCATCTACTACATAACAATTTAATTTATACATGCTGATATTGTAAATAAAATTTTATATTATTGCAACGATATCTGTATTATGACGAACAATAGGCAAATTTTATGCTCGTTGGCATTCTCCACAATCCTCATCCTTTATTCGAATACAACTACTCACCTGAAAAAAAGCATGCCACCTATTACATGCAGATCAATTACACGAATAGTCTATATTATTAAAATTAATTCAATGAAATTTAGTCAATGTAATTAAGCAAAAGTATCTCCAAAATCAGACTTTTTATCTCTAATTAACTTTTCCAGCCACTTCATTCAGAGAGATCAAACTTTTCCACCACAAAGAATTAATTAAATTAGTTATATTTACTAACACTTAAACACAAATTAGTGATCCTTAATTACACTTCGAATCCATACAAGACGCCAGCATATTTCTCCAGTCCACCTTTTAAAAAATAATTATCCCTTATTTTATGAAAAACATGCCACGTCAGCAAACTATCTGAACCGGCCTGGTGACTCTTCCCGACCGCCCGGTTCACGTCCAAATCCTTCGCCACCCGGTTTAAACCACCGTGATGTCCACAGAAACTCATCAAATGCTTCACATCATAAAATTTATTTCCAAAAAACACCCTGAGAATTCCCAAAAAGTCATTTAACCCACAGGGCAATTTCTGGCGCGTGAGGATTTTTACCAAGTACCCGAAATCGTACGCGCTGTGAAAAGTCACCCAACTCACCCAGTCATTGCAAACCAGGCCTGAGGACATCATCAACTCGGCAAAAATCGCCGAGTCAATCCCAAAAACCCGGTTCATTTCAAAATTTATTCCCTGCAGGAGGAGGAGCTCGATCGAGTTTGGCGCGTGGTTATCACGCGCCACATCAAAGTCGGAGAAATTGAATTGCCATATGTACCGGTGGTCGCCGGAGCCCAAATCTGGCAAGTTTCCGGAAGAATCAGAAAGCGTAATGCCAAGTTGAATAATATTCAAAGCATCGACGTTCCATTTCAACAGTGTATATTTGTCCGCCGTCGACAGCGGCGCGTGTTTCCGGGGACTGTGCTTGTAGATAACACCGGGGAATTCTGTGTCCATAGATACAAAAGGGTACTGATCAATCACAGTTGAAATGAGTGCGAATTCGGATTTAAGATTATTAGCCCATACTTCTCGGATCTTTATCATTTTCGGATCCGGATCTGCTTCATCAACAACCATGATTGAAAATTCACGAAGATTCACAAATGGGTTGTCACAAAAACGAAAATAAATTCTGGGTTTTGCAGCAAGAATCAAGATTTAATAGAGATGAGATTTGTTTTTGTGTGGAGCGTATTTTGTAGGAAGAATTGGTTTTAAAAGAAGTGGAGTTGCCAAATATATAGAATGTAAAAGGGCGGGGGAGAAGAGAAGAGAGAATAATAAAGCAAGTGGGTAGTGCACTTTCTAAATTAGTGTGCAATTTGATCTACTATAAAATGTTACTGTAATGTATTTCTATACGATGATTTTTTCTTTTAAATTTAAACGCTGTCAAATATAGAAAATTTAGTATTAATTTTGGTCAATTTTGAGTTAATTGCATTTAAGGGTGTAGTTGGTCAATAAAATAGATGGCACCAGGTCTCATGTTCAAATTTAATAAATACAAATAAAATTATGTATTTTTTTTTATGTGTCAAAGTCTTTAGGAGGTAACTATATATTAGAAGGTAACTAATGAAATATCAAGGAGTACGCGAACCGATAAGGACACCATCATCATAAAAAAAAAATTATACATGAATCTACTCTAAAATATCGTTCTAGTTTAATAATGGAAGATAAATCTACTCTAAAAATCATCAAATTTTAACATTATTAAAATTTGGTTGAGGTCGTATGGTTTAGTGAGTAAATGACGATAATTTTTTCCACTCATTAGATAAAATGATGTAATATATTTTACCTTCCTCGTCAATTCTTACTTTTCTTCTACTTATTTTTATTTATGTTTTTGAGAATTTCACTTTCTAGTTTCAACTCAATTTGCGTATTTATTTATTTATTGTCATATTTAATAGATTCAGACATCAAAAAGTAATTTTTTTCTTTTTAGTGTCTTAACATTTTTTGACATAGATCAAAATGGTAACATGCGTCTAATCATAGACCAAATTCATGCATGCTTCTTTATATCTCATTATTTTATGAATTTTACGGGAAAACTTTAGGCCACCAAATCTCTTGAAATGTTCTTGACTACGGCATTATATACGAATTACGATTTATCTTCAATGTACCTTGTGTCCTTTCTCGTAGTTGTCGACTTTTTTAGAATCCACAATTCAAATGCTTTATTCATCTCATTTACTGTTTTTCGTTGCTTTTTCTGCTTAGTCTATTTATATCCTATATCACTCGTAATAATAAAAGAAAACCGTAAATAAAAGTATGAAAAGGTAGAAGGGGTTTGTCTCCCATAATATTCTGAAGATTGAGAAAGAAAGATAGATAACACATTGAAAGATTCTTCATTATACACAAATTATCAGAAAACATTCCATTTAAAAGTATTTCTCAGTCCTTCCTTTGAATCCAATTTGCCCAAAAGTGAGGCATAGGAACAAACCCAAGTGCCAACAGACCATCCATAGCCTGTAATTAAGCCAATAATGCAAATATCTAAATTATAGAAAGCTAAGGATTGATCTGAGACGAAATACTTCGTCTATAGACATTATTAGGAAGAATAGAATATGAGCCTAATCATTCTTCTCTGATCGCTCCGGTAAAATGGATAAGTGTCCAGGGGCGGATTCAGTTCAATAGCTATGAGTAGCTTTTGTCTAGAATCTGTATTTGTATTGAAAAATTCATTAAATGTATAAGAATATTTAGCTTGAAACTCAGTCTGTTCATCCAGTTAGTATTGTATATTAACTCGAGATTTTTGTAGGAACCCATAAATCAAAAATCTTGGATCCGCCTCTGAAAGCGTCCGCCAAAAAAATGCAACACGATCAAAACATTGATATAAGTGACTTAATGATCTTCATGTTTTTTTTTTGCAAAAATAGGAAAAAATGCACTAATATTCATACTCCATAACTTATTAGGTTTCTAATAAAAAATATAAGCATCGGAATTTTATTTTATGTTTTACATGTTTTTTCCTATAAGATAGGGTGGATCAGAGAAGGAAAACGAAGAAAGGGCTAGAGAATTGAATCAACAGCTAATTTATATGAGACTTTTACCGATACCACAAAATTAAAAGCTTTTTTTATAATTGATTTTTTTCTCTCATTCTGATACCATTTGACTATATGATTTGTGAAATCTTTTTCTGTAAATATTGTATTACCCTAGTAGTAAATTGCTTCATCTGTCTTAATTTATGTGATGCGATTTTGCGTTTTAATCTGTCTCGAAAAAATAATACATTTTCTTATTTAAAAAAAAATTAACTTTTATTTTTATTTTTTTCTTAATGAAATAATTTATAATAAAAATATAGATGATTCATTTTAGATAATAGATTTTAATTTATTTTTTTCCTCAAGCTTCATACCGGTCAAAATGCATCACATAAAATGATCGGAGGGCATAAATTTTCTTTTTTTTTGGGTAAGAGGAAAAACCCGCAGCCGCTACAATCTCTGTCATAGCCTTTGCCCTTCGGGTGAGTGCTTTGTGCGCACCGAGTAAACCTTCCCCTATGTAACAGCATGCAAACCACACATGGAAAATAAACCGCACTAAGCAAGCCATGTGCGACATGCTCAACCCAGAAGGCATTTAGGGGGGAATCGATCCCATATGGATGACATACGGATGACCGCCCTCCAAACCAACTGGCAACCCCGAAGGGTTAAGAGGACATAAAATTGAAAGAGTAATTATGATGGAATTACCAGAATTGAGAAGTGACACCAGGGCCAGTGGGGAAATGAGAGAGCTCAGTGCCAATACTCTCAAAAAAGAGACCACTTAAACTTTTGCCATTAATTGCTGGAATGCTTGAAGGTGCCAGCCATCCAATTAGACCAAATCCAATCACATTCAAATCTCTCCTCAGCCAATCTCTCTCAAAGCTTCAAATTACAAATGAATTATGACTAAAAGAAAAAATTAACTTACAAAGGTGATATGTTAATACAATAATTTAATTTGTCGCAGAGGAATTCAACAATATTTTTTGAAGCACCATTACCGTTACATTAGAAATATCTTTCATATCGATAGATTTCCATAATTATATATATACAAAAAATATTCATTTTTTCAGTCGATTCGAAAGCAACAATAGATGAGATTGAATCAGACAAAAGGCTCACCCCTCACCTCACCCTGGGGGATTGGGGAGTTGACACTTTCATGCTCTTAGGTTCGCTGTAAGCGGGGACATATATACCTTGTCCTATGCGGTGTTATGGGATACCACTTTATCAAATTTTTTTACTAGATATATATAAGAAAACTAAAAATATTGGGGATAATTATATAAATGACCACTTACAACTATAGCAATTTATTTATTTATTCATTTCTTCAAATTGTAACACTATTTATGAAAAATTCTGCGTACACCACTAGTTGTGAGGCCAATAAGCTCAAGAAAAAGGAGACGCTATCAATCTTTCATATTCAATATTACGACCCAAAGAGTTGGTCCATCTGTATACCAACTCGAAACCAAGATTTTACCCTTTTTGCACATAGTAATTTCTTATGAATTGGAGTTCAATTGAACCCATCTCACCAAAGGTAACTTTGCCACTGATTACAGGTTACTAATTCCATTTATTACGAGCATCAATCAGTAGTTAGCTTAGGTAATTTGATCACGTAAAAAAAAAAACATTGTGATGACTATAAAAGTTAAACTGAAAAATAAAAATAAGGTGGGTAGGTAACCCCACTGTAATTAGATAGATCTTTATTTGGTAATTTACCATGTAAATTTGCCTCCTGAAGCTTGGGCGATCTTTAGAGGGTTTCTTGCTGTCACTTGTGATTTTAAGAAGCCTGTGGGGAAAAAAATGGAATTAGTGAAAAAGTGGAAACAAGATTTTATTACAATAACTAATAAAAAAGGACTGCTATTCCTAAAGTAAATAGTCAACCAGAAATTTTCCTCTGTTACTACAGGTATAAGATGTAGCATTCGGCAAAGGTGCATATCCATCTAAGAATTAACATAGACTATATGTAAAATTAAAAAAATTAAAATAACTTTAATATTAAATCCATACCTATTGTCACAAGAACTAAAGAGTTTAATAATACTTCTTTCACTAACTTAAAATTCGGAATGTGAAGAAATATACATGAGTTATAATCTGTTTGGCCAAAAGTACTTTTGTGCCTTTTTTTTTTTTTAACAAAGTTAAAGGTGTTTGGACAAGCTTTTAAAAAGAAAAAAAATACTTTTGATTAGAAGTAGAAGCAGAAAAAAATAGTTTTCTCCTCAAAAATATTTTTTTGTACTTTTTAAAAGTTTAGTCAAAACGCTAACTACAGCTCAAAAGTGCTTTTTAAATTAATTAGTCAAATACAAATTATTTCTCAATAAACGTACTTTTTGAAAAATATTTTTTTAAAAATACTTTTCAAAATAAGATGATTTATAAGTTTGGCCAAACATGTTATTGGCTAAATGGTATTACTCATGAAATACCCTTTGAAAATGCACAATATATTGGAAGCAAATACAGAAAGAAAGCCATTATCATAATGTGGAAGATTGCCATAAAATAAAATAAAAAATCTAAAATCAATCTTTTTCATTTGAGAAGAAATTAATATAACTCCAAAGAGAGTTAAATTACCCGAGTTGAGGGATGTCCTCTTAGGGGATGAAAGAGAGGAATTGACCAACCCTACAACAGTTGATGTAGTAGCCATTCTTGCTGCCATTTTTCTTAACTTTCTTCCCTTTTTTTTGTTTTTGCTTTGTTTTCTGACTTGATTTTGAAGTTGGATTTTGGTCTTTGAAGAGGAGAACTAGTGGATGAAAAATAATAGTGAGAATAAAGATTCTTTTAGGAAAATATGTGGTGGACTAGAAAGATTGTGACACTATGTAGATTTTGTGGATGGGCTGTTGATCAATGACTGGTTGACATGTGGATTTTTATGGATTTCATACTTTGGAATTTGGATTGATTTGATTCTGCTGACTTCCTACCGGAATAGAACAATGCGCGTTGTAGTACATATATTAAGGAGTGGTTTGGTATGTCGAATACTATAACAACAAAAACATACCCAGTAATATCACACACCTTGGATCTGGGGAGGGTTGTGTGTACGTAGATCTTACCCCTACCTTATGAGGATAGAGAGGTTATTTCCAATAGACCCTTGGCTCAGGAAAATATAAACACCACATTAATGAAAATATAGACAAGAAATGACAGTACCAAAAGGCCATATCGAATAAGCAAAAATAATTATGGGATAAATATTTAGCACCGTTTTGTCCCTTATTTAGTTATTAATCATGGTATACGTTATCTCACTATTAAAAATAGTACCAGGATAACTTATACCTAGGGGTGTTCATAAATATCCGAAAAACTGAACCACACCGACCAAAAAAATCGATACTTTTTAGGTTTGGTTTGATTTTGGTTTTAAATTTTAAAAACCGATCAAATTTGGTTTGGTTTTGATTTTAATCAAAAAATAGCCGAAAAAATTGAACCAACCCGACTATAAAAATAGTTATTTAAATTTATTATTATACATATATATATGTATATTTTTAGATAAAGTTTCTAAAATTTTATGGTACATATTAGTCATTTATATTTTTAGTCCAGTTCTTTGCTATTATAATAATCTAATTCCTTGCTTTCTAGTTTGATTGATAGTTTTCTTTTGTTAAGTACAAGAATTTATTTCATGTTAAAAATAATCAATTTTTAATTGAGTACTTAAATTATTCATCACTATTTGACTCAATTATCATCAATATATCTCGGTAAATGATAGATTTCTCAAATAGCAATTGGTTTGATAGCGTTACGTTGAAAATGTAGTCACCGGAATATGTGTTTGGTTGTGTATGTTTCATATTTAAGAAAAAACCGATAAATAAATGAAAAAAATCAAAAATCGACAAAAAACGATAAAAACCGAATCGATAAAAAGTCGACTTAATTGGTTTGGTTCCAATATTTGAAAAACTGACTTACTTGGTTTGGTTTCTTTTTAGGAAAAAATCGACCCAAACTGAACCATGAACACCTCTACTTATACCTACCAAAGGGTGGAAAAGTAATCACATGATAAGTTATACCAGGCTAAAGCAGTAAAATTGACAATTAGGATCAATACAACCAAATAGTC